GGCGTTACAAGTGGTATCAGAGCCGAACCCAGCCGAGTGTGGAGTCAAGAAGGCTCACACCGTAGGGGTGACGGTCTTGGTGCGCAACGAGGACGTTGCGATCAGTTAGTGGGGGTGAGTTGTAACACCCTGGTTTCAGGAATATTGTGGTGCATGCGGAGAGGTTTAAAAGGATTGATTTAGCCACCTATGTCACCAAAGTACACTTATCTTTTCGGTCAACTGTCCTGAGAGAACTCCACAGTTAAGCGTGTTTGGGTTGGAGTAGTTTCAGAGGATGGGTGACCTTCCGGGAAGTGATTTTCGGAACTGTGTGAGTGAGGACAAAACACAGGGAAAAGATCATGTGGTGATTTGTAGGATCGATAAACAAGTCTTTAAAACCTCCCGGACGTAGCGGACCGGCCGTCGGAGAGGAGTGCGCCCGTGGATCCGAGAGAGAACGTGGGGCCCACTGGTAGGGACGGTTAGGGCGTTACACCTGTGATGAGCTGCATATGCTGTTTCATATAATATTACAAATTTATGAAGTGTAAAAAAATTATGCAAGGGTGGCGAGCCATAAAGGAAGCATATATATAACAGGAATCCATTACCTCGGTTTTCACCCATTTTTCCTTGGTTGCAATGTCCAAGAAGTGACCATTTGTGAGCTAGTGACCAGTGCAAATGGTGATGTACCTGAAAAAAGGATGAGTTTATTATCATATTAGAATTGATAAATATAAGTATGAAAGTGTCGGGTAAATTGATGGAACAGTTAATATGCTTACATGTCCGCATCATCTTCAAGCAGCTCTCTAAATTCCTAGAACTCTTCCTCATCCAACTGGGGAGACGGGTGTAAGCAGGTTCCTTAGATCGACTCTTAAACAATGTACTAATCATGGGATCAACGCTAAATTCAGCAGAGTCGAAGAACCGGGAACGCCTAGGAACACGTTTAACCGCAAGCGGCAGACGAATATTGGTTGTCTCATGAACAAAATATGCATGTGAGGCTGCCACAATGGAAGAGAGATTGCGGTATTTACACTTAGGAGATTCAACAAATATTGGGTCCTCACCAGTTTCTTTTTGAGGCATTGTTGTTTCAACAAAATCATTTGACCCATTCAAGGGATATTTTGTTGTCACATCAGCAGCACACTACAACTCCAAATGCGATTTAGGGGATATCAATAAGATATATAAGAACATAAAAAGGGATGGCATTGAAAAAATAAATATGTACCTCTTCTCCATATGAGTTTTGGATTGGAGAGGCAGAGATATCTACTTGTATCTTCTGTAAATAAATGAAACATAACAGGGTGAGCTACATTTTTTGCTAGTTAGATAAAATAAATCAAACCAGAAACATTTTTCCTGAAAACTTATACCTGAGCAATATATTTTGCAAGCCCGTAAAGATCCCACGTATCATCAAAACCTACAAAGTTCGGAGTAACTTTTGCATCCCTACCATGGGAATCTGTCCATATAATCCATGCTTCAAAATGGATGAAGAGTTGCCAGAAGATAAAGATGTGAGCTCTTCTCGTTGATGTTTCCGTGAAACAAGTTTATCCTTCTTGTTCATGGCATGACTTTTTGATTTGTCGGAATGAGGATACCCTGACTTTGAATGTTGATACTTATCGCCTAAAATCTTCAACATATCTTCATTAATTTTGGAACAGAGGTCACCAAACTGTTGTAAAATCCAAGCCTTCAAATCAGATAATTCAGAATGGGTTACAATCACTGAAGAAGAGCTTCCTACACCAGCCTACGAAGCATCTACAAGAGAAAGGATTTTTTTTTCTGTTTTCTTACGAGCGGGCCGAGAAACAGGAGCAGAAGCAGAGGATTGGGGTTTCTCTTTTGTTTTCTTAGAAGCAGGCTTGTTGCGAGAAGGCAGTGGAGACCCTACTTCTTTTGCATTTTTGGCTGACCGCGTGGAGGGATTACGCAGGAGAGGATAGCTTTCATGTTTTGTCCTCTTCGCAGTTCCCTTAGGTTCAAATATACCATGTTCCTGTTGAGATTCTGAATGGAGGTCTACAAACTCTGTACCTTGAGACTCAAGAGGGGCTCCAGCAAATTATTTACCTTGTGATGAAGGAGCTTTACTAGGGACAGATGGTTTTTTCCCTTCAAAGACAGGAGGATGGCAGGGATGTCGTGAATAGGCCATATGTTTGGCTTGAAGAGGTGCTTTTGGTTTATCAGAGAAATGATCATTTCGACTCTAATATGGGTCAAAGTTTTCCTAAAACTACTCTCTCAAATAAGATATCAATTGCAATACTTTAGGGTAGAATTCCACAAAGTTCTTTTGGTCACACAATAAGCTAAGAGTCTCGAAATTAGGCTAAATAAAATATTAAGCAAATTAAATCAAAAAAAGCAAGCAATTAAATCAGGTGAAAATTCAATAGATTAAAACATCAAGTTTAGGAAAATTCTCAAGAGATAAACTAACAGTAAATCAAGCAAATTAATTAGGATTATTATCGACCGTTCTAGAACTCAAAACACTTCTCGAATGTATTGACTAACTAATCTAATATCATGTAGTTCCACCTCTCGAATGTAAACTCCTAGATTTAGACTAGTATTTAAAAGCAAGTTTGATATGTTTACAAATAGGGAAAATCCCAAAACAAACCTCCAAGTCAAAACATTTTCCTAACTAAAACCTCCAACCTCCAACTAGTTAATATTACCAATATAAACCTTCAAATTCCCAAATTTGTGCCCAACCTAAGGTTGACTAACAGTCAACTATAACATCGTTAAAACATTAAATTGCAATACCCAAAAATTGAAACCGCTCACGCAATCAATCCCTTATAATCGACTCCATCTTTACTTTCCATCTAACTTCTTTATGTAGTTCGAAACTTCTTTATAATCAATCCCTCTTTTGTTCAAACCCAGAAATTATGAACCCTAGAATTGAGAAAAGTGAGGAAAGGGAAAGGGATCGATCCTTTTCTTATTTCCATTTTTATTTTTTTATAACAACTGTCTTTCTTTTTTTTTTTAACATATTTGGATCGACAAGGCCCGATACATAGCCAATCCCTACTACGCGGGGTAACGCGACTTACTAGAGTCGAACTCCGGTGGGAAGGCGGAGTCAAATGGACTTAACCACTTGACTAAAGGCACATCCCTATAACATCTGTCTTTATATTAATAAATAAATAAAAAATGATGTCGAGAGTTTACATAGTCAAATGTTATAAAATAATGTAAAAAACTAGGATATGACCCGCCGTACACCGCGGGTTAAATAAATTTTTGTTTGTATTTTTTTATAACTTGATTATTTGTGTTATATATATTTGATTAAGAATTTTTTGTTTATAATCTTATGATTGATTGTGTTTGGTTTGTAATAAATCTAGATTTTACCTCGCGTTGTACCGCCGATTGATATTTTTGTAACTAAAAAGTAAATTTTAAGTTGTAGTTGTTTTTTTAATATTTTTTTTTAGTGTTTATGATTATATACTTGTATTTTATTTGTTAATTATACGATTTCACCCGTGGTAACTATCCCACATTAATATCGACTCAAACCCGTCCCACCATATAACTCCGTCCTGTGAAATTAAACACTATTTTATTATTTTCTTTTTAAAAATACATTTTTTAATGACATATAATTCGAGTCAGTTTAAAAGTTTCTTAAAAATTATTCCCATAGTATTTATATTTTAATGTTTATAAAGTTCAAATATTATTAATATTATAAAAAATTATAGAGTTTAAATATTATAAATAATTTAAACGTTTATAAATTTTAAATATATAAATACTATTATAAAGTTCAAAATTAAGTAAGTTTAAATAAATTATAAAAATAACTTAAAAATGCGTCCAAACAAAAAAAGCGGTCTAGGATTTAACCAGTGGTATACCGCACGGTAATTTTTATTTAATTTTTAATTGAAAAAATGTATATTTAAAGTTAGTGTTTTATGGTTTTTCATATTATTAGAATTGTTAACTTGGGATATTATTTTTTGACGCATATGTACGTTGTTATTATGTTAAATGAATTAGTGTCATTCTACTATTGCGAAATATTTAATATTAGTGTAATAAATAAGCCAAATATTTTTTGGCATTTTTTCTTAAAAATAAAAAATCCCGTAATTAGATAAAAAAAAAGTGAAAGACACAAAGTATTAGGGGGTGTTATTGGATGGAGGCTTTTAATGGACTTGAATTGACATGTAAAGTGAATTGGATTTTGAAATCCAATTCTTAAACGTGGGGTGTCCATTGAACTTGAAAATCATTGGTAATGGAATTTTGAAGTCATTGGTAATGGATTTTGAATTCCAATGCATATAATTTATGTCAAGAATTACAAAATTATTCATTTTAAAACTTTATTCCAATAACAAAATAATAAATATTTCAGGAACGGCTGTAAAAAAAAATATATATATAATAACTAGGTTGAAGAACCCAAGGTTGGGTGGGCTAGAGTCTGGAGAGCGCCGCCGTGGAAGATGAAGAACCCAAAGTTGTTGATGTTTTGTAAAAAATAACTTAAAGTATGTGTATTGCAAAATAACTGAGAGAATCGCAAAAGAAAACACTAGGTAATAGGTTATAATTTTTTGTTAGTGGATACCAGTTTTCGGAGAGAGAGAGAGGGAGAGAGGGAGAGAGATGAAATACTTGATAAAATGCTCGGATTGTTTTTGTTCATGTTTTATGAGTAAAAGTCCATTCAAATCCAAAATGAAACAAATCAAATGAATATTCAATAACAGTTGTTTTTAATTCATTTTAGAATACATCAAACAAATACTAATCTAATAACAGCAGATTTTTAACGTAATTTTGCAAATACTAATCCAATAACAGCAGATTTCAAAATCCATTAAAAACCCCCATCCAATAACACCCCCTTAATGTCACAGAGACAAATATTTATATGTTTCACTTTTTCTCTTTGACCTGAGAATCTAAAAAGTTATTATTTAGCTTGGAATTCCATTTAGCTTGGACCTCAAATTAAACATCGATAAAGCAAAACACACTTGAACATCTTGATGGGCCTTTTTTGAACACATGCCCAATGAACAAACGCCCAGCCCACAATGATTTCTTCTTCTCCTTCTTCGATACACCAAAGACGGTTTGTAAACACAAAACACATCAATCAACAGATTATACCTTTGATTAGCAAATAGAAAAACTCCCAAAGCTTCACTCCCTAAACCCTAATTTTCCGATGTCGGTGTTCCTTCCCGATTCTTCTTCAATTTCGAAATTTTGTTTGTTCTGCGCAATAATTGATAGTATGATTTGAACGATGAATCGATGGACATTGTGGTGATTCAGATCTTCGAGTACAATGAAAGTGCCGTCGACGCTATGGAAGGGAAAAACTGCTTCGCTATTGCCAGTGATCAGAGGCATGGTGTGCAATTACAAACCATCGCTACCGATTATTTGTGAATCTATAAGATCCACGATTAACTCTTCATCGGACATTCCGGTCTCGCTACTGATGTCCAAACATTGTAAGATCTCGTGACTATTCTATGTTCATATGTTTACTCATTTCCTCAGAGAATTTTAGGTGAATTACAAAATTTAGGGCTTTGTTTTTTATATGTCTTTGGGACTGAAGGTACCAACGACTCGTATTTCGTCATAATTATATCAGCTTAGGGAAGAAAGAGACATAAAGCCAGAAACTTTCGCTAGTCTTGTATCTGCCATTCTTTATGAGAAAAGGTTGGTGAAATGTCGTCTTCTCCCATTTGTAGTTAGTTTCTAGTTACCTCTTAATCAAACTGATTTCTTATGATTTGTGTGGCTATGCCACTACTAAGTTCCAACTTCTTCATTTCAGATTTGGTCCATACTTGTGTCAACTTGTGATTGCTGAATTGAGAGATGATAACAAACCCTTCACTTGCACAATGGATTCGATTGCAGCCAAGTATGCTCACTTTCTTTATTTGCCGAGTCTCCTATTATTTATTATTTTCATATATAATGATGCCATTTAATTTGGTTAGTAAGTGAGTGTAATCTTGCAACTTGCTAGGTAAGTTAGAAGGATCGTGGATTAGTATTATTTTGGTTTTTAGCGGAATATTGTTTTGGTATTTTGTCGTCCAATGCAGTGTATGTATGTCATATGAGTGAACGTTATTATATACGTGTTGAGCTGATTCAAATATGAGTTCTACTAATTGAGATTAACTGAACATGATAGTTGCAATGGTTATGTTCTGTTAGACCTGCAAGTAGAAACATTTTTACATACTTAACTGTGATTGTTTATATATTTTATTAATGAAAGTGATAGGAGTGTGTGAGACTATAAATTCAATGAAACTTGAGAAAACCTAACTGCATGAGAGAGTTATCATTGGTTTAACATTGTTTATAGGTTGATGCAATCTTATCATCAACTTGATAATTCAAATATACAAAATAGAAATTAAAACGCAATGCCATGTATCACCAATATAAGAAACCATTCAGAAAAACAAAACTAATTCTATAAGTAAAAAATATCCATATAGAGATGATAGACAAAAATTATCTAGAGATTATTGAACCACCTTTTCATCCGCTAAAACTAATTCTATAGTTTTTCTTTGAATTCTTTTTTTCTTTCAGATTCTAAGGATCTGAGATAGAATCTCCAATCAAATCTTTGTTGATGTCATGAAGAACAATATGAATGGAAAATGAAAAAGAGGTAATTTAGGATGAAAAGAATTGAAGGTCTTTGAGCTAATTTTTTTGTCGTGTTTAAAAGTGTTGTGTTTCTCTGGAAATGAAATGGGTATATATAGAGGACATATATGATTAAGTTTAGCTGTGATACATTTGCAAAAAATCTTTGTGAGCAAGCAAAATCTCTTCAACTTAATCATAATTGGCTAGAATTAGAAAAGTAAATGAATAATTATTAAATTTGTTATGGAATTAGTTCCAAAAATCTTTATTTACATTTTATTTAGGAAACATATGTGATTTGCATCAATATCTTTAGCATTATAATAGGAAACAATTTGATTGTCAAAGATTGGTTTGTTAGTTATAAATATATTTACGATTGATATCTTTCAAAATTCTATCTATTAATTTCGTTTTCCTTTTTTGTAGGAATAATAAAGTTAAAATCGATTTGATGCAGAGAGTTTCAATTAAGGAAGGATCCGATTCAAAAAATTCGGGTCAAAATCACAAATAAGGTAGGATCCGATTGACATATTTCCGGGTCAAAAACATTAAATATCCAAAAATTAAAAAAAATTTGACCCGATTAGGATCCCTTAAAAGTGTTGCAAAAATATATAGTAGATTAACGGCAAAAACAGGCCATTAACGACTGTTTAGTGTTTTAAACGGAGTTAACATGGACTGTTAATTAATCTTAGTTTGAGGACAGATTTAGGGACTTGAAGATTTATAATGGGATTTTTCCTTACAAATATTCGTAGACCACCTCTCGAATGTATCTAGTAATCTCTACCCACCTAAGATAGTTTCAGTAATAGTTGAACTCTCGAATCTATTTATTATCCTATGATCAAGTTCTAGTTAGCTACTCTATAACTAGCATTAAGAACAACCTATGGTGAAGAACTCTAAAGATTAATCCTAACAGGTAATCTAATTACTACTTCATCTAAATCGCTAATGAGAATCCCTAAACCTAACAAGAAGATTACTCAGACATGATTAATGAAACAAAAAAAACATGTTTGAATAGATTGCAAAACAAGAAATCAAAAGAAGAATACAGTTTAGAATAAATTTTCTCTCTACAAAGATTTTTTAATCTCTGAAAGTAGCTCTCTCCAATTATATTCCAAAGGATTCAAGCTCAGAGAATTACAAAGCCAAAAGCAAGATGCAAGATAATCAATAATAAAAACCCTAAAAATTATTTATAATGTCTCCAAAAACGTGTAGGGACTAAAGTTGGAAAGAAGGAAGTCTTCTGGGTTAATTCTTCGGGCTTTAAAACTCTTAAACCATCGAGACTTTTGCTGGGCTGCGTGTGGTGTCGATCGACACCAGGGGTGTCGGTCGACACTCATGCCTTGGTCTGATTCCGATTTCGTTCCTTCATGTGTCGGTCGACACCAGAATGGTTCCTTATCTCCAAAATTGTCCCGAACGTGTAAAAACCTGAAAAGACTTAAAAAGACACTAGAAACAACAAAAAGACTCTAAAACTGACGCATATATCATGGCTTAAATCGGTAAAATCTGTGATATGTCAACTCCCTCAGACTTAGCTTTTGCTTGCCCTCAAGCAAAATACACAAACTGAACCCGTGGAAGAAGTTTGAAAACATCAAAACTCCCAATTTCTCCAGCCTATTACCTTGATTATTCAAACCAAATCCAAATGCCTAGCAGATTGCATCAAATCCTAATCACCATGTAATTCTTCGCAAGCATTCTCAATATTCCAAATTCCAAACCAAATTCCCCAACCATATCCTATAGCCCTCATTGCATAAATCTCATCAATAAAATCAGTACTCAAAAACCTTATAGACTCATTTCCGTACTATACCATGGTAAATCAACCATTTCAACATATTGCAGTACTCTATCTCTCCCCACACTTATTCTTTTTCGAACTTTTTTTATTTTAAACTTCAAAGGTGTAGGCAAATAATGGTATCATCGTAAATTTTCCTAACCTCGCTTCCAATCTTCGTGTGATCATCCTTCTTGAAGTAAAATAATGAGTTTACTAAAAAAATTCCTATCTCTTTACTTCAAAAGAAAATCATCACAATCTTTGTTTTTTATGTATAAGGTAGAGGAATACCATCTTTTTCCACATAGGTCTCATTTATCAGGTATGAACGAGGAGTCAAGTTCTGAGAATACTAACCGGATTGAGGAGGTGAAGATCATGAACTTTGCTCAGGCTTTAGCGGATTGTGTTGGAAATTAACGTGGATGTCTTCTGGTCTATAGATTAACTCTCTTGATTTTCCATTAATCATATTGAATTGAATCTGCAGCATTAAACTAACCAGGCAATTATCTAGAGAAAAATATCATATTTTCTAACAGATCATAATCTCAATAAAACGACTCAAAAGATCATAATCTCAATAAAACGACTCAAAAGAAAAAGAAAAATAAGAATAAGACTCAAAAAGAAAAATGATATATCACGGATTTTACCGATTTTAACCGTGATATATGTATTGTTTTTAGAGTCTTTTTGTTGTTTCTAGTATCTTTTTGAATCTTTTCAGGTTTTTACACGTTCGGGACAAAAGTGGAGAAAAGGAATCATTATGGAGCTAAACCGAGGATTTGGAGCTGAGGAGACGAATCCGGTTCGAACCAAGGCATGAGTGTCGACCGACACCCTTGGTGTCGCTCGACACCAAACACTGCCCAGCAAGAAGTCTCGACGGTTTAGAGTTTTAAAGCCCGCAGAATTTACCCAGAAGACTTTCTTATTTGCAATTTTAGTCTCTGCACGTTTTTGAGACATTATAAATAGTTTTTAGGGTTTATTTATTTCATTATCTGGTCTTTGGCTTTTGTAATTCTCTGAGCTTGAACCCTTTGGAAGATAATTGGAGAGAGCTACTTTCAGAGATTTCAATAC